CGTAATCATTCATCTTTCTGTACCCGGCAGCACTGGCTGTGTTCCGCCGTGACAAGGCTGCTAGCACGCTGCGTACTCTGCCATTCATTTTCCAGAACTCGAACCATGGACTGTGGAGATGTTAACGTGACTTTGTATGCTTTCTTCATTGATCCAATTCAATTAGAATGGGTACTGTGGATTGAAGCCGCCCCTGCACTGGTAATGTTTTTGTTCCTCGTCTATCTGTCAATACGTTTGAGAAAGAAAGCGTGGAACACTGCGAGTAAACGATTCACTCGCTCTTTCGAGATATTCTACATTTTGCAAACCATTCTCATTTTAATTCCCCTTCTTTTGAACGGAGGGAAGTTTAACACTAATATATGCAGACCCTTGATTGTTGTCTATATTTTCCAAATCATTCTCATTTCATGTACGAATTTTTATATATCGTTGGCAGCAGCAGGTTTGCTTTTCATGTAGTGTTTCCATTTTTACCTGGGGGTCTAAAAACGTGTTTTGAATCTCGGAAAGCAAAGGCAATCGGAATATGCCTTGAGATTGTTGTACCGATATCAGTCGTTTTGTATATTATGAGTCTCAATATTCTGATAGCATATCGCCTTACTACGCCAGATGAGGAAAATCTCAGTTTTGTCGTATATTTGGGGTCAACATTTCTACTTATGTTTGTATCTTTCGTTTTGAACGTGTTGAGCATTGTTTGTTTGATAGTATTTATATGCATGTTAGCAAGAAGTAATGTGAACAATAGCATGCTTTTAAAACTCCTTCCCTTTTTGGGTGTTATTCTAGTAGCCTCTTTGGTTTCTTTTATAGTATTCTTCAGTGTCAATTATGTCCAGTTTGAAGGGCCTGTGTTTGTTTTTGTAAATTCTCTGTTTAGTTGCATAACTGTAATAGCAATAAATGCGCTGACATTTCCAAGAGATGTACTCTGGTGTTGTTGTAAGTATTGTTGGAGGAGGAGGAGGGTACAACTGGCCAATCTTAACGTCAGAACACGACTGTTTGTCAATGCTACAGAGGGAATGGAGACGCATCCAGCCTCAGTATGGGATCATAGGAATGATCCCAGTGGTACAACCGCCACCCACTATCACGCTGAAATGACAGACTGTAGATCTGACTATCAACAACTTCCATGATCTCATGCTACAGTGTTACCATAGATCTGACTATAATAATAAAAAGGTAGCTATCATTGACTTTGCAAGTGGTCATCGTTAATGATTTACTATAATAATAGTGCCATACAAAACTATCATAACACTACCATAATTGTTTAATAGCTTTTACAGTTGTCATAGCTATCCAGGAGGCCAGCTCAGCTGCCGACCACCAATCACATGAACATGAAGATGATAGACTGACTGAGCACCATCTCTTCCATTGTTGATTACTAAAAGAGAGGGAGAAGATTAATGTCTACATTATTGCCTATATACAACAGTTCAACCTTTGAAAGGACACTTCTCTATAAAGGACACTTGGTTCGAATAATAATATATGATTTTACCTCCAAATAAGTGACACCTCTGAACAACGGATAATTTCAAAGTCCCCAAGGTGTCCCTTATTCAGAGGTTTCACTGCTACCAATAGTAGTTACCAATTCTGTAGCCATCAGATAGATTCTCCTTCTCAGCAAGGTTCCGTGCCACCACCAGCAAATGCCCCAACAGCTGAATAGAATTCATTAGACCTGTTCTACCATTATATACAGAGACCTATAGCTATACCTGAGTATCACGGTCAGTTGAAGCTGAGAGCATTGGGATTGGGTTTCTAGGGATGACCAGGAAATGAGTTGGAGCTACCGGTGACACATCGTGAAACGCCATACACTGAGTTTCAAACAAAACATCAAAATGATACGTAAAAGAAAGAGTGGATCTGTTCAAAAGAGGTCGCACCATTTCGTCCTCATAGATGATGTCCGCAGGAACCTCTTTTCTTAGGATTTTGGAGAAGATTGTATCTTCTTGTGTTGTTGAGGGATTCTGTTTGCGGGTTGCATCTGTCTCCCTCGCTCTCTCAACTTCACTCTCGTCTCCAGCAGCAGCAGTAGTTGGACAAGACGTTTGGAGGGGTCTAGAGAGAACCACATTGACGTGGCTCCAAGGAGATGCGTCGAGTGAGCCTAGAGCATGTCTGGACGTCAGGAGCACTAGTAGCTGTGCTGATCTGCACCTCAGACCTATCATCCCCAGGGATAGAGAGAGACTCGATACGCGCGCGAGTAAAACAAACTTCAACCTCACGTGCGCGTGAGACCTGCACGCTGGTGAGAGCATGCGCAGTAAATATGCGCGACGTTTATCTGATCACGAAAGAGTCCACCGGTAGAATGATAGAAAGATAGAACAAGAATGGCATTTTATGAAGTATTTTATACAGGCCACAGTACAGATTTTAAATGTACCAAAAATTAGTGCCGTTTTCGAATTCTAGCTTTCTATGTGTCTCTCTGGTCATCTCACAAACAGCCCCACTTAATAATTGCGCATGCGCACGAGGGGCGAAGCGTACGCCCTAGTGCTGACGGCGCACGAACGGGGGAAGGCCTGCTCTAGAAAACAGGGCTCTCCAACTTTTGTCAGCCTAGCTGGTCGCCGTAATCATTCATCTTTCTCTACCCGGCAGCACCGGCTGTGTTCCGCCGTGACAAGCACGCTGCGTACTCTGCCATTCATTTTCCAGAACTCTAACCATGGACTGTGGAGATGTTAACGTGACTTTGTATGCTTTCTTCATTGATCCAATTCAATTAGAATGGGTACTGTGGATTGAAGCCGCCCCTGCACTGGTAATGTTTTTGTTCTTCGTCTATCTGTCAATACGTATGAGAAAGAAAGCGTGGAACACTGCAAGTAAACGATTCACTCGCTCTTTTGAGATCTTCTACATTTTACCAACCATTCTCATTTTAATTCCCCTTCTTTCGAATGGAGGGAAGTTCAACACTAATATATGCAGATACTTGATTGTTGTCCTTATTTTCCAAATCATTCTCATTTCATGTGCCAATTTTTATATATCGTTGGCAGCAGCAGGTTTGCTATTTCATGTAGTGTTTCCATTTTTACCTGAGAGTCTAAAAACGTGTTTTGAATCTCGGAAAGCAAAAGCAATCGGAATATACCTTGAAATTGTTGTACCGATATCAGCCGTTTTGTATATGAGTCTCAATATTGTGACAGCATATTGCTTAACTAGGCCAGATGAGGAAAATCTCAGTTTTGAAGTTATTGTCGTATTATTTGGGGTCAACATTTCTAATTCTGTTTGTATCTTTAGTTTTGAATGTGTTGAGCATTGTTTGTTTAATAGCATTTATATGCATGTTAGCAAGAAGTAATGTGAACAATAGCATGCTTTTAAAACTCCTTCCCTTTTTGGGTGTTATTCTAGTAGCCTCTTTGGTTTTAGTAATCCTTGGTTTCTATGATATCCAGTTTGAAGGGCCTCTGTTTTTTTGTGTAAATTCTCTGTTTAGTTGCATAATTAACCCTCGGCGCGCATTCGCAGCGAGGGTTACAGTACTTGGTTTGTCCGTCTCTGTCCGTCTGTCCGTCTGTTACCACGTTTTCTGCCACCACGCGCAACGAACAGGTAAAATAGCGACACCAACGGGTTCAGCGCTACACTGGCTTGATTTTAAAAATGTCGATTTTCGTAAAAGTGCCGCGTTCAGAAGTTATGGCGTGAAAAGCAAGTGAACAAGCCAATATGCTAATTAGCACTAGCTTACCTCGACCTGATCCGCTTGCTCTGTGTACATCGGAGGCACAAGAAGTCACAACGAAGGGCGTGTATCAACTCCCGCATGCTATCTACTACTGTAGCTAGTCCGTGTCAGACTTTCCGCGAGCTACTAGTGGGAGATCACGGGTAAACGCAGACTAATAGGCCCAGCCCATCAATTAGGTACAGCGCATGCGCAGTTCGCCGAGGGTTTGCACTTTAGTGCTTTTCATTGTGATAGCACTGACATTCCCAAGAGATGTAATCTGGTGTTGTTGTAAGTGTTGTTGTTGGAAGAGGAGGGTACAATTGGCCAATCTAAACGTCAGAACACCACTGTTTGTCAATAATGGAATGGAGACACATCCAGCCTCAGTATGGGACCACAGGAATGATCCCAGTGGTACAACCGCCACCCACTATCGCGCTGAAATGACAGACTGTAGATCTGACTATCAACAACTTCCATGATCACATGATGACACTTACTACTGCGTTACTACTGTGTTCTCAACACTTTCACTGTTTGTATTACCGTTGATCTGACCTGGTGCAAGCGCATGGTTTAGTCAAACATGCGCATGTGCGTAAACGAACGCTACGGACGGCGGGTCACTGTTTCGCGCGCAGGGGGTCAGCGCGATGACTGGTCATGGTAGCTCCGCAGGTGCCTTCTTTGAAGATCCTCTGTATCAGTTCGTCACGATCGATGCAGCGCCTGTTGTGCTCGTATTCCTCTTCCTTTTATTCCAGTCGTTTCGTCTGAGAAAGAGAGCCTGGGACACTCCCAGCAAGCGCTTCAGCCGTGGGCTCGAAATTTGTTTCGTTCTCCAGTACACCATATGTCTTGGGATCTGGAAGAGAGGTGGTGCTGATGGCACGGGTTTTATCCTACTTATCGTTTTCTTTCTGAGTATCAATTTTTTTATGTCTGCCGCTGCAACAGCGTTGACGCTGCAAGTTATTTTTCCATGGTTACCCGAGTCATTGAAGCCTCGTCTACAGTCGAAATCAGCAACACGGAGCAAAGTGATCCTGGAGATCCTAGCGTTGGTGATGATGATTTCCTACAACATGTCCGGGATCTTGTTAGCCATGTTGTTTGAAGCCTCCGTTGAATTTAGTGTCCTTAAATTTTTTATTTTAATGTATTACTCCTTGAGCGTCCTGATTGTTCTATTAGCTATCATTTTTAATGTGTTTTGCATTTTCTGTGTTTTCATGGTGGTGCTAAAAAATCCCAAAAAATTCCAGGTGAAGTTATTCTTATCCATTGCGATGGTTGTAATCGATTGTTCAGTTTCAATCACAACCTTTCTTGTTCTCTTCATGACGTGCTTCGCACACAACGCTTGTAACGGTTTGTTAATTTCGAACATTTTGTGTGTTTCTCTGTTTGTCATTTTAGTGAGTTTGTTGACCTTTTCTCGAGACTTGTGGTGGTGTAATTGCCGTCAATCTAACAGTGCACCTGCAGCTCCCAATGCAGCAACGCCGCTGATAAGGGACAGGGAAGCAGAGGAACAACGTACTGGCTTACTAACAGGGAGTAATAGCGGATCTTCCACCACCTCATACAATCCTCTAGAGATGTCTGACTGTAGTCCCAACTACAAACCATTACCATAATTATTGTGATTATGACAGTGCTTTACTATGATGAAGAACCAACTAGAGTAGCTATTGTTCTGACTGCCACTAGCTGACTACTATAGCAACCATGATTGTATTGAACTTCAGTGACCATTGTGTATTGTAGCATTTCCTTGTATGATTGGAACAATAACCCTGACGCGAGTTTTACACAAGCAGTTAATTCGCTCGATCGATCGCAGGCCCGCGCGCTAGCGCACGTTCCGTCACTGTGGGGTTGGGGGTGGGGGGAGGGGGGGCGTGGGGGCGTTGATTAACAGCCTTCACCCCCCTCTCCACGCGCGCATGCTCCGTTGCGATCGTGGGGAGGAGGGAGGAGGCCTGGTTTCGGGGCTATGTGTTGTTCGACTGTACGGAACCCTCTCTACGAACAGAACTCATGTGAATGACCAGAAACTATGTATCTTAGTGTGAAGATCGGTGCAGCTCCTACTCTACTCATACTCGTGCTCTCAGTGTACCTGACGGTTCGTCTCAGAAAAAAAGCATGGAACACTACCAGCAAGAGATTCAGTCGATATCTCGAGATAGGCCTAGTCGTATCGTACTTGATAGAGCTCGTTTTGAATATTTTCTGTGGCCTAAAAGTTGAAAAGAGTTGCATTGCAGCTGATATAAATTCATTTACATATGTCACCTCTTCTTTAGTCGTTGCCAATTTTTGTACTGCTGTGTTGACAACAGCGTTGATACTACAAATTATGTTTCCATGATTTTCAGAGAGGAGAAAACGTTGTCTAGAGTCTAATTCAGCAAAAAAGTGCAAGTTGACCGTAGAGATTTTAGGTTGTATAATGATTGTTTTATACAATATTTGTTGGATGGTATTTGACTTTCTTGATGGAAAGTATATTAGGATAATTATATCCTCTTTATCCGGCACAATTGTACTTGTATCTTTAATCTTGCAAGTATTCAGCATTGTTTGCTTGTTTTTGTTTGTGTGTGTGATGGTAAGACACAGGACAAGGACAAACCATCTACAATTGAAACTCTTTTTGCTAGGTGCAATAGCTGTACTTGGTTCTATATGTTCAACCACACTTTTTTTTGGATCAATACCTTTGTCTGCGCTCACATGCATTCCTGGTATAAATTGTGTATTAATAATTATAATTACATATTTTGTAAACATATGTATTTCTCATAGTAGTGACAACATTGTCCTACCCACGAGAGATATGGTGCTGTTGTAAGAGAAGGTCTCCACACTCTAACAACAGAACACGACTGCTTGTAAATGCTACAGAGGGAATGGAGACACATCCAGCCTCGGTATGGGATCACAGGAATGATCCCAGTGGTACGACTACCACCCACTATCCCCCTGAAATGACTGACTGTAGATCTGACTATCAACAACTTCCATGATCACATGATGACACTTACTACTGTGTGTTACGTAGATCTGACTATCATTGACTGCGCAAGTGGTCATCCTTAATGATTGACTGTATGTCTAATTATGATTAGCTTCCACACTAGTGCCATAATAAACAATCATATGCATAACACTACCATAATTGTTGCTAGGAACTCTACTCCAAGAGCTGCGTTAGCTAATTTTTATTATTATTCTGAACATGAATTAACATAACACCACCACAGAAGGCTTTATAGTTGTCATAGCTATCCAGAGGCCAGCTCAGCTGCCGACCACCAATCACATGAATATGAAGATGATAGACTGACTGAGCACCATCTCTTCCATTGTTGATTACTAAAAGAGAGGGAGAAGATTAATGTCTAAAATTAATTATTGCCTATATTAATAGCTACAAGAAGGACTTCGCAGGCGTTCAATGGATTCATGATTGGGGTGGGTGGAGCTGCGGTGGTGTATGCTGCAGTATCTGCTCTCATGAGACGATGATTTAAGGAGCTATAATAATTATTCATGTCTGTCAACTTTTTGATGCTCTGTATATATCTGTCTGTGCTGTTTAATGCCTGTTGATCTGATCATGATGAAAGAGTCCACCGGTAGAATGATAGATAGATAGATAGAGCAAAAAAGGCATTTTATAAAGTATTTTATACAGGCCACAGTATAGAGTTTATAAAATGTAGCTAAAATTAGTACCGTTTTCGAATTCTAGCGTCTGGATCGTCCCACTTAATAATTGCGCATGCGCACGAGGGGCGAAGCGCCGACGGCGCGCGCATGAATTAACGGGGGATGAGAAGGCCTGCTCTCCAACTTTTGTCAGTCTAGCTG